CCTCCCCGAAAAGACCTGAGTGGGAGATAGGGGCATCCAGGAGGAAACTCTTATCCTTGTCTCGGATCTCCGTGAGATTCAACCAGAGGTGGCGCTCTGCAGCAACCGAGCCCGCCATAGAGCGACCTACAGCCCGAGCAGTGTGCTTGGTGGCTCTTAGGGCCAGATCTGTGGCTTTGCGAAGCTCTTTGACAGCTTCGGGCGTCAGTCCCTCTCCTTCATCCATGTCCTTCAAGACGTCCGCTTGGTAGGCTTGAAGGATGGCCATGGTATGCAGGGCCATGCCTGCCTGACCAGCCGCCATGTAAGACTTCCCAATAAGGGAGGAAGTAGTCCTACAAGCCTTGGAAGGAAGAAGGGGACGCGCCTTCCAAGACGGTGCAGACGACGGGGCGAGGTGGTTAGCCAGCGTGTCCTCGACCGCTGGAATAGCGGAATAACCCTGCTCCACAAAACCAACAAGGTTGGTGAAGTCAGCGGCTGCCGCATTAGTTAGGCGTGCGGAGAATGGCTGCTTCCAGGATCTGGAGATCTCGTGATGCAGATCGCTGAAAAAGGGCAGCTTTCTTCGCTCTGGCCTAGAATTAGGGCCACGTAGGAACCTCTCGTCGAGTTTGGACGATTGAGACTCGCGGGGCTCATCAGGCCAGTCAATAGAGAGCTTCTCTGTAGCGCGCGACAGCACCTCAATAAGCTCAGTGTAGGCCGGAGTAGGCCGCGCGTCCTGGCCGCTAGGCGGGATAACGTCATCAGCCAGAGCAGGCCCGAAATCCTCGGAGTCGGAGGCTGCAGTGTAAATAACGTCATCCAGACCGAAAGAAACCGATTCGCGGGCTCCCGGGCTGGGACATAAATAATCATGCGCGAATTCAACCGCGCCGCGTGCGTGCTCGGGAGAGGGAGGGAGAGAAAGGGCGAGGCCCGTCTGCTCATACTCAATATCCTCGAGCTCAACATCCGAACCCCAGGCCGCGGATCCACGAGAGGCCTCAGCAGTCTCGGGAGCGCGACGGGGGGAAACGAATGTCTCCTTCTCAAAAACCGCGAGTCTAGAGCGGAGGGTTTTGAGAAGGAGATTGTCACAAAATTTACATTTCGACAATCCTAATACAGCCTCACGCGCATGCGAAAAACCCATACATTTAACACACTTACTGTGAGGGTCGTCGTTCGAGATGAAACGAACGCATGGCGGAGAGCAGCGTCGATAATCCATGACACTTCACTGTAAGGAGAACAGAGTTCCACTTATACCAGTCGCTGAAGTGTCGAGACGAAAGCTGAAGTTGAATTGAAGAATTCGGGCTCAGAAAAACCGCACGAAGGGCGAGATGTGACCGCTTCGTGAAGGCAGAGAAATCTGAGGAGAAGATGGCGCGCGCGCGTACATCATGCTACGACGTAAGAGCGTCGGGGCGGAGCCAGCTTTGCGCGAGCGCCATCAGCCAATGGATTGGCGTGATTCTATAGGGCTTCAGACAATCGGCACATCCAGAGGATATCCCACTGCGCTTTCCGCAGCGTTGAGTGAACCTATGAAAGAGAACGTTTTGTCGTTAGCCTGTGTGAGTGTAGGCCTACTTTAGCCTACCTACATGAATAAAAGTAGACCTTTTACAGTTTTAAAAGATGATATCTTATCTGTATGACCAACAATTACGCAGTAAGTTCTTTTAGCTGTTATGAGAAAAATAAATCCAAATGAACGCGCCGCCGCGTTTGTCAAACTCTAATTGAACATGCCAGAATAAAGCCAGATTTTAGAATAATGCATAGCCACTCGGCGTGGTGTGCCAAAATACCCTAATTATAAACTTCAATATTTCATTCAAAACCATCTCAAAACGCTTTGTGACATTTTAAAAAGCCGTGAATGTATTAAGGCCACTGGAACCAGGATCGTAACTGAAACGCGCTGCATGTCTCAATACAGGAAGCGCTGGTTCAGATTGTATTGTTTGTTGTTTAAACGTGCATGTTGCATATTTAAAAATATTTGTTTAAAAATAAATGTTTGTTGTAGGCTTATTTGTAAATTACCATAACTTGTAGAATTTCATCCTTACTGTTAATTGACATTAGCCCCACTTACGTTTTGATAAATGTCCCTTTGCGCCACCTGGCGGTCATTTCGCGAGCGACTTTGAAATGCGACTGGTTTATTTTTATTGTATTGGTCTACTTTAAAAAATAATACTTTATAAGACATTTATGGGAAAATACTATTTTCTTTTCAAGATGTTTCCAACTGTAACTTTGAACCAATTCTGTAGAATGGCCCATATAGCATTTGACCAGGATTTGTTTCCAGGTATGACTAAAAATGTGCTTCTGGCTTTCATTTATATTTTGATTGTTTGTATATATATATATATATATATATATATATGTGTGTGTGTGTGTGTGTGTGTATATATATATATATATATATACATGTAGGCTATATATATATACAAGAAAGAATGCAATGACAATATATATATATATATATATATACACATGTAGGCTATATATATATATACAAGAAAGAATGCAATGACAATATATATATATATTGTCCTTACATTCTTTCTTGTGTGACACCCCTGAATGAAAGGCTCATTATTATGCAGGGTCACTGTCTGAGAACCACTTAATTATTCATGATAGGGGTTGGGCCGTTCCGCCCATCCGCATATTGCCTTGGCAAACAAAAAAAGGTTTTTCACAATTTAAAACAATCTATTGTTTTATGTGAATGATTAGGAAGAATGATTTTCAGATCATTTTGAAGCAAAAACTCTAGGCAACAACGTACATTAGTCAAAAGTCTTGTGGACTCATATTTAGTATGTTTTTTGTGTCCTTATTTCAAAAACTTTATTTTTTAGTTTTTTCAATAACCACGCATAAACAATATTCTCTCAAAAATACAAACATGTACATACATGTTGCTCACACATTATGGTAGACCTGTTTGTGCTAAATAGAGTTTAATTTCACCTGTGCCATTAATATGTTTATAAGCAACTGAAAAAAGCACAAATGTCAGAGCAAGTCAAAACATCCAAAGGGCCCCAAAAACACTCTGGTCCCCAGAGGGTTAATGAGAAATTGAACAGGTGTTCCTAATAATCCTTTAGGTGAGTGTGTATATATATATATATATATATAAAAACAGCAACAGATTCATAAGCCATCTGCATGTGTGTTCAATGCCATGACCTTGCCATCGCTGGCTCCATTAAGGTCAATGTCAAATTTACATTTACAAATGTGTTTACAACCCATTTTACTTCCATGGTAAAACAGCATATTTAATAAAAAAGAGGTGGTGTCTTTTTACATAGAGATTATTTTCTATGGAAAAACTAGCACCAATTAATTGAGCTCAATAAGACACGGAATGAATTAAGCAAGTAAATCCGTTTTTAGTGTTGACTTGCAGCACGGATTATAACCTTGACAATGCTAACCATTTAAACAGTTGTGCATTTCCTTGTAAGATAAGTTGAGATGCGGTAAATGTAACTTACACTTATGGACACACTCCACTGTGACTTCCTCACAAGCTGAATTGGGTTTTTTTTTCTTTCCCCTCATCATATTCTCATGTAGCTTGTTTACTTGATGAAGTCAGACGCTCAGTGAGTAGAAAAGCAGTAGGATGCAAAGTGCAGACACCATCAGTTTCTTATGGCCAATGAAGTGTAATTTGTCCCATTTACATTTCAGAGGTGCATCAGACGGGTTTTGTCAGCACTGCATGCAGTAATTAAGCTTTAAATCAATAGCCGGCATTTGTCATGTTTACTGCCACTCTCTGTGCTGGGTTAAACTCATCAGTTTAGCGCTGGGTCGTTTTACTGCCCAGCCACACTTCATTATTCCTTATTCCCAGGTAGAGCAGAAAATGTTCTTCTCTTTCTCTCTTCATCTTTCTTCCCATAGCTCTCTCTCTCTCTCCTTTCTCCACGTATACAATGCTGACACAGGGTTGTGGAGACAAGCAAATCAGACAGTTATTTATTGTAATTTGTTTAAATACTTCCTCAAGTGCTGTATGATTACTCGAGTTACTGTATTCGAATAGGTTTGGTTTCACCATTTGGGTCTAAAACAAAACAAAATGCAAACAAATATGCAAATGCTGTAGACACAAGATGCACATAGGCACATACAGTTGCAAAAAGGAATCACAAGCACCATGAATGTACACAAATGTGTAGAAACAATTTTCCCTCGGAAATTTCTAGTAAACTTCACAATTAATTATAAAGAAACAATAAAATAACACATTGAATTAAAAGTGAAAAATGTAAGTAGAATGAATGTTGTCTTTTAAAACGTACTCCAATATTATTTGTTTTATTTACAACTTTGAAAAATCTTTTTTTTTTACAGTGAAAAGTGGTCCATACGACAAAATTGTGTGAGAAACAAAACAAAATTGTATTGTCAATGGTATATTCATATGAGTTTGTGATAGAAGTTGCGATATCTAGTTGTGGACTAATCATTCTTTTGAATCAGCTGTTTTTTAATGAATCAGTTGATCCAGTTCACAAAACTGAATGATTTGTTCATGAATCGGACTAATCCGGTTCTCGAGTTCAACTCACTGACTCAATGATCCAGTCACAGAGGTTAACAGCCCACTGGAGGGCAAGATTATCAGTGAATAACTTAAATTTCAGTCTGTTCCTCACACAAAAAGTTATCGTATGGCTTCAGAACACTTGAAATATAGTCCATAAGTCATATAATCAGCTTTTGGATCCTTTAATGAAGCTTCCGTCCATTCATTGTAATTGCATGGAAAAGTGCATCTTCAAAATCTCTTCTTTAAAAATGTTTGAAAGCCATACATGTTTGGGATGACAAATGTATGTAAATTATTCAAAAAAATTTAGTGAACTATTTGTCCTAGTTGTCCTAGTTTTTCAATGGTGTCCTTTCATTATAACATGTTAGAGTCTCTCAGAAGCTGATGGAGAACATCCTGTGCAAATCTGTTCCAGGTTCATCTACAGAAATTGCTACAAGACAATCTGAAGTTAGCGCAAGAGTACCGAGAACTGCAGAGAGCTCTAACGATAGCCAGACAAGAAGCCGTTTGTGTTTTTGAAAGAAGAAACAGAGCAGAGGCCTACGTCCAAGATCACAAGCAGGTAACACATTTCTTTCTCTGTGACTTCTTCCATATGCATGTATACATCAAGGTTATTTTCTGCATGTGTGAATGATGTGGTTGTCTATCTTTGTCATCGGAGATAGACAGCAGGCATGCAAAATAGTGATGAGAGAGAAGACTAGCGTGCGCAGGCGTGCTCCACACAGCCTGTCATAGGTGGTTGGTTTTAGTTGGGCAGTCAGCTAGGAGGCCACTGCAGTAATCTAATCACGATGAGATAAGCTTCATGACAGCGTTGCTCTGGCGTGCATGTGTGTTTATTCCATCTCACATGGCAGTGAGAGGCGCGTGGCAGATGCAAACGCTCTCAAGAACCAGCATCTCGGGAACGTTTGGGAAAATGATAATATGGCACGTACGTCCATCACTAAAGGATGGGTAGTTTGGCTGGTATTCATCAAAGCTGTACTGTGTAAGTGCAGTGTGTTTCTATAGAGTGCAGTGCATTTGTCATTCCCAAACACTATATGGCTGTGTATTGGTATATAACAACAAACACTTGTCAATGTAAAGATGTTTTCAGTGAGAGGTTAAAGCTGAAGTGTGCCATCTCTATGCTAGAGTCATTACTGTGTTCAAACAGGTTTCCTCAAAGCTCCCCTCATCTGCCATTGGTTGTACACACAGGTAGTTTGGTCAGGATGCTCAAACAGAGCAATTAAAGGCAGGGTATGTGATTTGTTCCAGAATTTTTTTGGTTATGCTGGTTGAAAGTCTCTTCACATCCTGATAGCAATCGCTAAGTTAAGTGGTCTAAATGTATTTATATGTATATATATCGTCTGTGGAAAGAGTAGGACCATAAAATATTCATCCAATCATTGCATTCGTTCCTAATGGTGGCAATTTTTGATTTATGTCTGTAACTGTCTTTTTTTAAACCCGTTCACCAGAAAGATTTGTTTATTTACTGATTTGTTCGGTCGCTCTTTCTGTAGGTTACATCATTATACTGTAGTTGGCGTCAAAGTGGATGTCTTTTTTTGTTATGAATCATTCAGTGATAGGATTCGTTAAAAAACAAGCACTCTATTTTACAGTCCTGTTCTGCATGTACATACTACAGTATATACTTATTATAGCAATAACAAAAAATAGGTTAGGTGCTGCTAACGCTAAACCTACCCTTTAACCTAACCTTAACTTATACCTAACCTTTCATGGCTAAGTATAGTGTAATTCACGTACTGCAAACAAAGTGTAACCAAAACAAGATTCGTTAGTCGCCCATGACCAAAACATATTTAGAAAGCTTTGGGGAATTCTACTAAAGGCCCCGATATACTCATGGCGAAGTACTTTTTCGTTTAAGCAGCCGGTGATTTTTCCAGAAAGTTTGCTTTGGCAAGCTGTTGCAAACTCCCAAAACGAACTCCAAACAAAGTTAGTTTTGGCCTGATTTTGTTCGAAATTATGTCACATCAGTTCGTTCTTCGATTTCGCTTCAAGTATATCGGGGCCTTAAGAGTCTCTAGAAAGAGTGTTTTAGCATTTTCCCCACAAATGATGATAATGCAAAATAATGTTTTTAGATTTTATCTAATATAGAAAGCTTAATCTTTGAGTTATCAAGCTATAAAAAAGTAGCTTTAATAACCTCTTTGCGTCATTTTACATCAAGAATGAGTTTGTTAATGAATGAGATGCCTTGTTCGTTCAGCTCATTCAGTGCTTGTTCGAGTCTCGTTCAGACTCTAATCAAATCTCAGTGAACTGAGTTTTGTTCGTTGGAATGATTCGTTAATTTGATTTGTTAGGTTTGTTCGAAACACTCATTTGTTCATTAACTAAACCACCAAGGGCAATGTTTCAATAGCACCACAGTAATTATACACTGTGTGTGATAATTAACCTACAATTGTCTTACTTGATATCTTCACATATTAAGCTATGATAGGAGAAGGCATTTAAACAAAAAAAAGGCACACTTCAGCTTAAAAGCTTTGTGTCTCTCATACATGACATTAGTCCACGGATTGTTATTGTTGTGGTACCATTGTTGTTGCTAGAGATTATTACTAGTTATACTGATCTACACATAATCTGTCACTTTAAGTATATAGCTTTTTTTTTTTAGCTGTAGATCATTTTAATATGATTTGTTATTCTACTGCTGATGGTAAAACTCTACTGAAGAGCAAGACACATTGTTTGTTCCCCAAAAGACTAATACTCGTACAACTCCTCATCTAACTACATGAATGTTATCAAGTGAAAAATGCATGCAAAAGGCAAATCCTGTGGACGGGATTCTCCACGCTCGTGATCAAAGCCTGATTTTCTTTTACTCAGTATTCAGCCTTTTTACAGTTTGTTGTTTATTTGCAGACTGCTGCGGCTTTCTCTCCTTCAGAGCGGATGTAGTCGCATCTCTTCGAGGTTTACGACGAGCTCTTCTTAAAGTTCTATACGTTTCTGTAAGGACGTGTAGGCCAAGCTGCGCTCAATTAAATATGGATTCTTATGACAGCTCAACATTTTTTAAAAGGTTTTCCATGCCATGCCAAGTATGTATAGGGTCCATTATGAATAGTCTGAATAGAATGTATATTTATCAGATGTCTATTAAAACACCTGCTCCATATGTATGAAACTGTCACACCACATTTATCATGAGAAATAGATTCAGACGGTGTTTTAAAGCACTGTTTATGTGGCTAAAAAACGGCATTACACTTTATAAATATTTCACCCAAAAATGAAAATTTAGAAATATATATGTGTGTGTGTGTATGTATTTATGTAAAGTGAGGCAAATAAGTTATTTTCTGTTATTTACAGTATAGCAATGCACCTTTAACGGGTCTAAATATCTGCATTAGAGTGCTAGTGACAGATGGCATTTAATTATTTAAGTGGTTTTATGTGGCATCCTTTGGTTATGCTGACAAACTTTTTTGTTTTGGACTTTTATCAATTGACTATAGGCACTGCGACTATGTCCTCAACATCAACATATCACTTTTATATAGAATACGGGTTATCATATACAATGACGTACTGGCATTTTGCCAGTTTAGTTGGATTTGCCAGTTTAGTCTGAATGAGAGAGTTAGAGCGCCCCCTTGCAGTGGTTAAAAGTACAAACATGGGCCTAACTAAACATCCAGAATCAGTTTAATGCTTGTAAACAAAAGGTTGGTGGCAGGTTTGCTATTGTAACCCTGAAGGCCTAACAGAAATTGAATCGTCTACATCTCGTCTCGAAAGTTGGGTTGTTACAAGAGAGGCAAGTATGTTTCACACATACTGTTAGTTGGCATCTTGCATCACTTTGACTGGAGTCTTTTTTGATATTTCTTTTTGCACATTTCTTTCTACAGCATATTGTAACTATTGTTACTTGTAGCGTTAATAGGATAGTACCGTTTTTTTTTTTTTTGACATGGCTCCATAAAGGACATATTTTTTTGTACTCGTTCAGTTAAAGGCTGAGCTAATTCGCTTTAGTTTTTTCATGCTCCGAAGAACACATTGCCAAGCAATGATAAGCTTAAAGGAAGAGAGAAGAGATGGGGCGAAACAAGGGACGACATCCCTCCGAATTGAAACCCCCTTTTTTTCTGGAAAACTGCACAAATAATAAAGAGAGCAGCATGCTTTCTTCCTTTCTTTCTTTCTTCTCTAATCTCTCTCTCTCTCTCACACACACACACACACACAAACACACTCTCTCTCTCATTTTTTTATGTTTTTCCAGTATACTCAGAATAATTTCTCGTTGCGGCAGGGGGTTCATGACTTTTTGTGTATGTGTAAAATATGTCTGGAGGGGATTGGTATAAAGTTAAAGTGAGTGAAGTCGAAATATTTTACTCATCAGCTTTGCAGTCACCGAGTTTGCCTGAGCTAGAACAAAACCGCTGAAGCATTTAGAGAAAATTAACCCCCCATCCTGGCAGCCAGATGTGACTGGTTTCCGCCCAGTGCACATGAGTGGGCAGGGAGAGCAAGAGACTGTGAAATTCCTGTCAGCCCCGTGTACTGCAGAATGGGCTATTGACTGCTTTCTCTATTCCCCTCCATCATTCTTCTTGAACACTGCCATTAATTTCCTCTCCTGCCTTACCAATTCCCCCTCTCTTTTTCTCTCTCCCTCTTTCTTCTTTCTTCCTCAGCTTTCTTTGTTGCAGAAGAGGATGCACAAAGCCATACTAAAATACTTCAAACACCGCAGCGTCTACAGCCAGGCAGAGCTGGCCCGCTTCCAGACCCTCTCCAACCAGAACAACCAGAAAATGAAAGCCCTCCAGGTATGGGCTCTTTAGTACCCCTACAAACACACACACACACAACACCATTTGTAAGTATTGCACTATATACTACAATGGGTCCCATTCAGGTTAATGCTTGTTGACTTTAAGATGAGGTTGGTCCTTGAAGGAATATTTAACCCAAAAATTTAAATTCGATCATTATTTACTCACCCTCGTCATGTTTTTCTTCCATGAAACCCAAAAGGAGATGTTTGGCAGAGTGTGGACATTTCCCTACAATAAACACTTTTCAGTGAATAAGGACTTACGTTTTAGCTGTTCCTCACACAAAGCTATTCAATGACATCAGATAAGAAATATAGCACACATGGACTATTTTTATGTTATTTTTTTGGAACTTGAGAGTTGATGATCACCATCCACTTTAATTGAATGCGAGAGAACAGCGTGTGCGTCTTTTCAAAACATCTCCTTTTGTGTTCCACAGATGAATAGAAGGTCAATGGTCACGTTTATTTGCATGACATGACAGTCAAGCAAAAGAATCTCCCCTGTCAACTAGGGTGTAAAGTTTATATGATTTAATAATAATTAGGGATGCGATATATCAGCTACCATATCGGTTTCGGCTGATATATTTTAATTTTTAATGTTAAGGTCATCGGCCCGATAAGAAAATTTGGCCGATGTATTAAAGCCGATAAATAATGGATTATTTCCTTCAGCTGAGACACTTCAGATGCGCTCTGTTTGACATGATGGTTTTGCTTGAAATATGATTGGAATCACTTCAAAAAAGGAAAATACAGTCTGTCATATAGACTACATACAATTATAATGAGAACATTATAATTGTGTGCTTGGGACATTTCTTTTAATGGTCCCACTTTTGATTTTTGTAATCAGGCTCTCAAAAATGATATAAAATGTTGATTTATACTTCGTAACATAACATTTTTCGCTCTTATCACACACATATCGGTATTATATCTGTCATCTCATTCTCTAATTATTGATATCGGCATTGTATAATGCTCTTTGTTTATACATATAAAATATATGTATAAAAAAACGATATCGTTTGACCTCTATCATTAAAATATAAAATTGCACTCAATAAGTTTTAAGGGGCCTTCACATACAGTAGAACATCTTAAAAATTTGGCGATCATGGTGCGAGGTGCTAGCGTTCGTCTAGCTAGCATGTTTAGACCAACAGAATATAGTGCATATATCTAAATGTCTAACGCATGAACAAATGCGAGGTCGTTAAAATTATATTTAAATAATGAATGAAATTAGAATTGCATTTAATATTATTTTGTATATTGGAATAATGCAACCGCAATGTTTGAATGATCTAACACAAAAGGCATTTGGTCTCAGTGGAAGGTGTACTATGCGTGCTTATAATGAGGTGAGCGGCGGTGTGTTTGTGGCTCAGTCAGGGGAGGCCAGCTCTGGAAGTCAGGCTGGTGAATGGAGCATGAAGACGAGGAGTTCTTCAAGCTCCTCCGAGTGTGAAGGACAAAAGGAGCAGCCTTACTCTAAACTTTGTCACAGCTCTGTGTTGATCTCCTCCTCCCCCAAACACAGACGAGCATTGTGTATAGGAGACTTTACATTGTGAAATAAGCAAGGCATAGCAATAAAGCATCACCATTCTCAAATGACCCAAAACTATGGGAGTTGTGTAGAAGCTAACCTTTGGTTTAAAGGTTTGTGATACTTTATGGTACTAGGAAGTCTAGTTTGTCTCAGCTTCCTATTGTCATTGTCTTTGTATTGTGCAGCAACTACTATACAATGGCTGTGGAGGGCCTCTGCCCTGTCTGGGGCCCCCTCATGACATTATGAGCTAATTAAAAATGCGATTTTACTAAATGACAAAAATCTAGGAAGTTGAGTAGGAAATATTTGAGCAAAACAAGGGTTTAATGAAAAGTATTTAAGAGAGGGACAAATCATCCATAATAATATCTCTGTCTGTCTGATCATTTTGATACAAGTGATCAAATATTTTGTTTCCGGATTGAACACAACCGTTTTAAAGCAAGCCATCTTGGTAATGCCTCAAACAGCTATTTTCTAGCCATACAAGTTTTCTAGTCATGTTTCAATAACATTTCAAATCACTAATATATTCAGGGCCGTTGTCAGAGACATCCGGGAATGTTGTCCCGGGCCCTGTGAAAGGGGGATCCTCTTAGACGTAGGGAAAACAATTAACGACCATTCGTAATATCTCAACAGTTATCACTTTGCAAACAACAATTGTTCTTTATTTTTGCACGCTGGAAAACAGAGTCAAGTTTTTACACCAACAAATCAGCCAAGTATGACTGCTGAAAACTGTCAATGTTTTCATTTTGCATTGATTTGATTTATTTCTCTCTATATATTCGCCATTTTTAATTATATGTCATTTACTTTTCTTAAATAGACTATTTCTTTTTTGCATATATTTGAAGTATCATAAACAAGTGCCACGTTCACACAGCAGCAGAATCCGGTTGTCAATCCTGTATTTGAGTCCTCAATATGGTTACTTCACACACAGTTCAGTTATTTACATTTTATATATCAGGATTCACGACCGCATTCTCGGAAAACCCGCGGTGTGTGAACACAACAGAACCGGTCGTGTCATTCAGTGCGAGGCCGTGTGTTGCGGATTGTCTTGTGTGGTTTCGCTTTCTTTCGGTAATTTACAGTGACGAAGATATAAGCTGTGTGTCATAGAGAGTTTCAGATACAGTCACTGTTCTCCACCAGAGCTGTTCCTGTCAGTTTTGTGTGACTCCACTGCTCCGCTCTTCACCCAGATATAAAAGATTTGACGGATGAACTCTGTTGGACACTCGTCATATCAAAAGTATAAAAAAAGACTTTTCAGTTTTATAGATGTCGCCATCTTTGATATTACTGTGGTCACTGTCGCTATGATTACTGGTAAGAGAATACAGGCTTGACTCCCGTTGCACGTTCATACAGACAGTATTAGAGATGCTACTATAAGTTGCTGTTTGAACGGGCCAGCGCTGTAATAGAGCTATATATGTTTGAGACCGAATCAGATTCAAATGAACCAATGCAACCACAACAACTGTCTCCAAAGACAAAACACTATAGCTTTTAAAAAAAGATGCATGTTGAGAATAATTAAGAAGAGTCCATTTTGAAATGAACTTAAAAATAAACTTCAGCCAGGCATTTCTAGTAGTTTGAACTCTGAAAGTTTTTGGAGGTGCAGTTTGTCCTCATCCAGGGACAGAACAATATCAGATGCTCTTACTCAACAGCAGTATCGCTCTTGTGATTGATGCAGACATGAGTTATTAAGAGCACCATGACTTCACACACACAAAAAAATCAAATCCTGCCGTTTCGGAAGAGTGGAAACAAAAACCCATATTTTAAACTGGGGAGTTAGCTTTGAGAAATGAAACTTGCAGATTGTTTTTAATGTAGAATAACCTCTTATATGTGTAAATATTATTATAATTTAGATTTTCCATTTCATGCCACCTTTAACCATCTTAAACTATCGCAGTGTCCTGTGTGCAAAAACTTTTTATCAATGCTGATTCTGTCCGAACACTTTCCCTAAGAGACCACAAGCAAAACCTGTCCACCCATCTACTCACGAGGAACCTCAGCCGACGAGGGTTGCCGGTGGCGAAAGCTATTCCAGCGATCTGTCCCTGTGTCTTCCTGAGGAAGAAATGACTGCTTCCAAGCAACTCTACTGAAGTAGAGAGATAGGGGGAAGAGTTAAACGAAATAGAGAAAGCGTACAAGCCTGTCATCTCGTAACGCCGCTGCAAGATTGGGCACTCAGTTCCGGGTTATGCAAGTTTACACCAGGGATAGCATAATTGACAATTGCTAACAACAGAGAGCAGGGTGGAGAGTTGTGAATGGCCAGTAATAATTGGAGCGAACGCCCACTGTGCTGCTCTCGAGGGACTGTAATCCAAGATCTTGTTTCTGATATAATTGTTAGTCAGAAAATTTCTGCATGGCTAGGCCAGCTCAGTTCCCAAGCTGGTTGACAGTGCAAGGCAGTTTAATAGAAAAACTGGTTGCTGAGGTTTTTAAAACAGGCATGCACTGAACCAACACGCAGTTCACCAGGAGTGTGGCGCACACCGTCTTTCTCGTTCCTTTGTTTTGGCTTTCTCAATCTCCGTACAGTCGTACAGTACAGAATAAAAGCGTCTCAAGTTGTCAGCGTCGCTCTTTTATAGGTTTCTGGGAATGAGTCAAAGTTTGACTAGTAAATGCCGTATCTAATCACAAAGCATCTTTCTTCAGTCACGACCCTTCAAAAGTATGTGTATTCTGACAAAAAAAAAGAAGGATAATACATTTTATATTTGTAAATTATATTTTAGTGTAGTATATATACGGTTTATACACGCATTACCGGTCAAATTTTTTGAATAATGACGTTTAAAAAAAAAGATTTGTCAAAGGACATTCCTCATACTCACTAAGGCTGCATTTATTTGATCAAAAATACAATAAAAACAGTAATATTGTGAAATATTATTACAATTTAAAATAGCTGTTTTCTATTGTTATATATTTTCAAATGTAATTTATTCCTGTGATCAAAGCTGCATTTTCAGCATCATTACTCCAGTCTTCAGTGTCACATGATCCTTCAGAAATCATTCTAATATGCAGATTTGCTGCTCAAGAAACATTTCTGATTATTATCAATGTTGAAAACAGTTGTGCTGCTTCATATTTTTCAGGATTCTTTGATGAATAGAAGGTTCAAAAGAACAGCATTTATTTGAATGGGAGTTTGCAGTGCATATATTTAAATTGCCTTTAAATCGAATGGAAATGCTAAGACTAGCACCACAACATGTATATCGGTGACCAACTACACTAGCCTTTCCCAGTATTATATATTGAAGCATTAATGTCGATCTTCTGTTGGCTCCCGCTCCACTACAGGTTTTTGTACTGAATTAGCTGACACTCATTGATTCCATTTGCTTGCCTATTTAAACAGGAGGAGTTGTCAAACTCAATCCGGCGCCTCTCTGAGTTCCTGCTCTCGCTGACAGATGACTCAACTACCAGCCATGTCCCGCAGCCAGCAAACAGACCCATCGCAGATGCCGACGGATCGAGCAGGAAGATGCCTACAGTTCAGATAGCGGAGTAATTGGACCCTCACCTGCGCCAGACAACTTACTTAAACCCCCAGCATGCTTCACTCTCTCTCGTCCGACGCTCACGGCCCAATCCATAACAATGAAGCAGGTGACTTTCATGCTACTGTCAGGAATGATCTAATTTTAGCGGGGTGAATGATTGCAATTGGCTTTGCCTCATCAGATAATTAATCTATGTCACCATTAATTGGAAAAGAGAATAATTAGGGGGCTGTGTTGACAGAAATTCTACGCTTCTCTAGATTCTTGGATCTAATTACACCTACTTAAACCCCTCTGACCTTAACTAGCGGATAGTATACCTGCGTAACCCTAACCAGGCTCGGGTTGGTCTCGACCGCCTCTCGCACTGCGTCCTTTGTCGTTTTTTTCCCCTCCTTTTTGGCTTGTTTATCCTCTCTTTTCCTGTCTCCTCAGAGAGCTGTCTCCCTCAATCACTTTTCAATATTCAATCTTAATTTTGTGGAAGTTTAGCATTTTCAATGAGCTGGAGATGAATGATTAATGAATAAATTTGAATGCTTCATTTTGTCCATGGATCATTAGTCAAGTCCTTTGTGGGAAGGACCTGCGAAAAAAAAAAAGAGGGAAAATTATTGAGACATTAGCCTGAAGCAATCCAGGGGTAAATAGTATGCACAGAGGGATGTTGTGTGAACGCTACCCACTGGCATTCTGCACAACCCCACGGAAACGCAAGCCTTCTAATTTACCCCGCTTCACAAGACTGATGTGCTCTATCGACAAATAGGTTTCATTTACAAAAATGAGTTTTCATTTTGATGTTTTGGTGTATGCGGCTTTTTACTTTTTTTTTTAGTTCTTTATTATTATTTTTTTATCCTTGTGTTATGTGCCTCCTCTGGTGAGATGTAAAAAAAAAAAAAACTATTAATGTAATGTCAGTTACAACTGACCGAAAATCTTATAGCTAAGCAAAGACATTAAAAAGTGATATACTTGTTAGATAATTGGGATTATCCGTTAGATTGTTGAGTAAAACTTCTCAATAAGGTCTTATTTGTTATCATTATCGACTACATTAGTTAAGATGACTAACAATGAACAATACTTGCATTTATTAATCTAATTAATGTTAATTTCAGCATTAACTAATGGAGCCTTTTCAGAGACTGTGATATTGAGTTATTAACATTATTAAAAGGATAGTTCACCCAAAAATAAAAATTCTGTAATCATTTGCTCTCCCTCATGTCGTTCCAAACCTGTAAGACTTTCGTTCATCTTCTGAACACAAATGAAGATCTTTTTGATTAAATCTGAGAGCTTTCTGTCCCTCCATTGACAGCTACGCAACTAACACTTTAAAGGCCCAGAAAGGTAGTAAAGACATCATTAAAGTAATCCATGTGACTCCAGTGGGTTAACCTCAATTTTATGAAGCTACGCAAGTGCTTTATTTGCAAAAAAATCAAAACATAATTTAACACTTTTAATACAAAATATGAATCTCCAACGCACGTTTACGTAACACTGTCCGCTCTGGCGTCAACACAACACCCATGCATCATTAGAGATTCATATTTTGTAAATAAAGTGGTAAATTATGTTTTTTTTGTGCTTCATAAAAGTGAGGTTACATGGATTTCTTTAATCAGAGGTGTAAAGTCCAGGTTCAGAAAGTAAAAGTCCTCCATTTTGTTCCAATCACCTGGATTTGCTAATTGGCACAGTTTCTCAATGAAATCAGCTGGCTGCGTTCATGGGTGGAATAACCATATGGCAGGACTTGTACTTTCTGACCCCTGGACTTTACACCTTTGACCTTAATGATGTATTTACTACCTTTCTGAGGCTTGAAAGTGTCAGTTGTGTTGCTGTCAATGGAGGGACACAAAACTCTCAGATTTCATCAAAAAGATCTTCATTTGTTTTTTCGAAGATGAACGAAAGTCTTACGGGTTTGGAACGGCATTAATGTTAAAAATTAGACCTTATTGTAAAGTGTAAAATGCAAAGCAACACATTAAACATCCCAAACCTTATTTACTCTTTAACATAAATGTTCCAGTCAGAATCAATAATGAAACATCAAGCACTTTTAAAACTCAACTCTTTTAAGAAATATATAGCAACTTAAGACCCACATACGGTAAAAAATTAGTTGATGATAAGAAATTAAGATGCTACAATGAAAATTTATTTTGAAGTGTGTTTAGCTGTGACAGTTTTGGGTTGATTATGTAGATGTGGAAATGACATATATTCCCTGCAAAGTGTTATAGGATTCATTTGACATGAATGAATGGGCCCAGAAGCATACATACTCCCATGACAGCAATACAACTTTTTTTAAACAGAATACAGATAGAGAACTTAATGGATGACTGAGAGACATACTATTTCTCTTTAAAGTCAGCGAAAGAGATCCTTTGGCACCTTTGAGACTGCCAGAGTGGATGTGCGTCCCGCCCTTCTGCATTTGCAGTGGATAATAATGGGCAGCAACTGGACTCATGCGTCCTGTGATCAGCAGAACTGCACTAACTAGTCCTACTGTTTATACTGTAGACACACATAAAAAAAATAAAAAAAGACGATATTATACAATGAATAGCTTTGGCTGTAAAATTTGATTGGATGAGCGATGAACGAAACCGCATTATGTGAACATACACCAGTGGAATTCTGTATTAATGAACTTTGATACTTTGCTTGTCAGCTCTAAACTACAATTAGGTTAATGAACTATTACTTGATAGAAGATTTATTTATTGTGATGATACTATTCACATAAATGTTATATTGTTAATTTATTAGTAATAATAATAGTGATAATAATGTATTATTTCATTTTAAAATGTAATTATAAATATGATTAAAAACAGCTATTTGAGTTTTTGACATTTAGTCTTGTCATCATCATCATTATTATTATTATATTATAATTTATTAGAAACTTAAAACCAGTTAATAAACAGATAAATATGTTCAATAAATAATGTATTCATAATAATTACTATTATCATTATTTTTAATAATTTACAATAATTAACTTGAAACTTTATTATATAATAATTTATTAGAAACTTGAAAACAGTTATTAAACAGTCATATATGTTTAATAATGTATTAATAATATAATAACTATTATTATAATTATATTAATCCTTACTAATAATAATTATTATATTAATAATAATAATTCATTTGAAACTTAATTATTATATAATCTTTGGGGGAAAAAGCAGTCAGATATGTTCAATAAATAATGTATTAAAAACAGTTCATAATCTGAAACTAAATCACAATAAAAGATTAAACTTGTTTGAAATAAAGTCAGATAAAAATTCCATTCACATTTATTCACATTATTATTTAAATAATAATTATTTATTTGGTAATAATAATCATTTATTTAAAACTTTATTATATAATCATTTATTAGAAACTTCAAAACCATTAATAAACAGTCAGATATGTTCAATAAATAATGTATTAATAATAATAATTAATAATAATAATTTATTTGAAAACATTGTTAAACAGTCAGATAAGGATGCCAATGTTTAATAATTTATTATTATTATTACTACTACTATTACTAAATCATAATAATATATGAAACTTGTTTGAAACTGTCATTATACAGCTTGATAAAATGCCAATGTTCAATAAATAATTACATTATTATTATATATTATTATTATTAATTAATTATTTATTTATTTTTACATATTAATTATAAATATTATTGAAAACAGCCATTTGGGCCACTCAAACAGATTGCAATTCCAATTGTTACCACTAGTGGCACACACTCTGTGGTTCTGTATCACATGGATTTTTGATAATCTAGCCTAGTTCTAAGCTTTAGTACAGTAGGCGTATGACATTCAGGTTTAACATGCAGCAACACATGAGGATATATGTATGCACAAGTCTTGTATTGATGTGCTTCATATCATGCACTTTTTGTTTGTGCACTAAACTTTGTTGGCACCTCGGACACCCGGGTCATCTTTTTGAAGGATGGATTGACTCTTTGCTTTCTCTTCCAGGTCAGGCAGCCATATTTTAAATTAGAACACTTCCCAAACACATTTGTCTGCTCTTCCTGCCTCCAATCAATCCTGTAAAATAAATGACACCAGGCCAGGAAACACCACTGCCATTAATTTCAACAGAAACATGCATCAAACCTTACAGTGGGTTAGCAACCGCCAGACGACTCTATTACGCACACACAGATGCTGTATTGTACACTCGCTTTTCTAAGCCAAAATCAAGACGGATTATATAGGTGTTGTTATTTGACCCATTTGAGGTCACAGTTAAAGGTATAATGTGTAATATTGTTGTTATTTTCAATAATATGAAAGGACTGTAAGTCAGTCATTGGCATTGGGAAAGTTGTGTTTGAATACAATCATCCTTTTTGCAATTTTTGGCGACGCTATGCAGAAATTACACACTTCAACTTTAAGTAAAATCAGATTGAATGCATGATTAAAGCTAGACTTTCAATGTCGAGTGTATAATATTCTGACGGCCAACTCAATAACAGAGATCATAATTACAAGACAGGCTTCATGCTGCAACGCAAGCCGATGACAACCCTTGAAATGTGTACAGATGCTGAGTCTGTGTGTATTTAATTGGAAAATAAGACACCTGAAAATGTGGGGAAAAAAGAAGAGCGATAAACAAATTCGTCATGAAAATAATATATGTTCTCTTTGTCTCCACACTTCCCTGCCTCCCCACACATTCATCTTAACAGGATAATAATTTGTGAAAGTCTCTGACATTTGTGGCTAGCTAGCATGGTAATAAACCCCTGGCTCGGAACGTTTTTTAGTTAATTAGAGTCAATCAATCCAAACTTTTGCTCACTTACCGGTGTGAAACAGCAATATAATGAGCAGAAATCAGCACAGTGATTGGAAATACAAATTACAGCTGTTTAAAGGAAACCACACAGTCTACTACGCGGCCAGCGAAGCAAGAGCCTGCTGGGGACATCTTGAAGGGTTTGGTGCCAATTCGATGGGTGCAGTAGGGGGAAAGATATGAGACGGAGATGAAGAAAAAGAGGGGGAGAGAAGCTCAGCAATGCAGATGCTGAAGGACGGATTCAGTCAAACCGCCCTGACGGCAATTAAACACGAGTTACGTTTGACAAAATCTCTTTATTAATACTCGCACTGCACTGTGGAGAAACCATGCTTGGGTTTGGGCCTAATGTGTCTGCGAATGTAGTGTTATATCTGTGTTTTCTCATTACAGATGTCATTAACGTGTGACGTTCATATGTAATATCGGTGATGAGCAATTTAGCAGAGACAGATTTTGATTGGACGGATGCATAAAGGTATGTTATGAACACTCTTTTCTCATTATCGAATTGCTATTGTTTCAAGTTGTTCAAAAGCCCTAGTAGTTTTTTGTAGGAATGACGACAGAAGCACCATAAAAGAAGTCTGCTGTACTCATGCATCATATTCCAAGTCCGTCCGATAGCTTTCTGTGAGGAATACACTGAAATTCATGTCATTTTATCATGAAAATCTTCCCTTCCGCCAAAGCACTCAAATCTCAATTGTGCCAAATGCTGTCTGCTCTCGACGTGTCTTTTTGAATGAGATTTGAGAGCTTGTATGGATTCAGAAGGATTGGGAAAAAACACAGTTTGTATGGACCAATTTTATGTGCATTTTATGCAATTTCTTGTTTTATATGTAGAAATGTCAGAATACATATATATATACGTATATAATATATATCAGTGATGTGTACAACAAATTGTAGTCCATTACTGAATACAAATCACATGATTAAATTTGTAAGTTATTAACGTAATCTATTGTATTACACATTTTAGGTAATGTAATCTGACTACTTTTTGATTACTTTTGACCTAACTTATAGTATTAGTATAATCTTGTACCATATTGATAAATCATTTCT